CAGCACAATGGTCATCATGATGGCTCTCTTCTACGTGCCCCTCTACCTCCAGGTCATCGGCCTCTCCGCCACTGACGCCGGCCTCCGCCTCCTGCCCTCTCCGCTGGGCATTTCCGTCTTCTCCCTCGGCTGCGGCTACCTCATGAAGAAGACGGGCCGCTACCTTCTCCTCGGCACCGCCGTCCTGACTCTCCTCACCATCGCCGTCGCTGTCCTCTGTTCGTTCGACGAAAAGACGCCCACGTGGACCGGCGGCCTCGTCTTCTTCATGGCCGGCGGCGGCTACGGCGGTATGCTGACCATTACGCTACTCGCCTGCATCGCGGCTGTCGACCACTCCCAGCAAGCCGTCATCACGTCCGCCACATGTACGTCTCGCAAGACTCCTCTCGTTGATTCTCATCCTCCTGGATGCCCTTTTCTATTCTGTTCAGTCACTGACGATGAACCACAGACCTGGCTCGCAGCTGCGGCGGCACGATTGGCGTCACGGTCGGTTCCGCCGTCTACCAGAACATCCTCAAGGCCAACCTCTGGGCCCGCTTCGGTGACTACCCTCACGCCGCCGAGATCATCGCCCGCATCCGGGACGACCTCGACGAGCTGCACCGGCTGCCGCCCGGCTGGAAGCAAGGCGTCGTCGAATCGTTCATGGGCGCCTTCCGCGGCGTGTGGCTCACTATGCTGGGACTTTCGATCCTGGCGCTAATCTGCATCTCGCTCATGCGGCAGCACACGTTGCACGCGACGCTAGAAAGGCGATGAACTGTTTGCAGGCCAAACGTGCACGAGAGGGCCAGGTCAGTCAGGCAGGCTGCTGCAGCGCCTTGGGCGCAGTTGAAGACTCTCGAGCGGGCCACGGCCATTGGTTACATGGATTGGATTTTCATTTTTTAAAATCAAGCGAAGCCTGCATGTTCATTATATCATTGAAACGTCCGGGCTGGCAAACACCCCATCAGGACTACATGAGTTATTTTACGAGGGCAGGGCTGAAAAGCAAATCAGCCTGCACCCTGACCGTCCAAGGAAGATCATTGTGGCTTTGTAGATGTTCGCCTCAAACATAAGACACCGTGTTGTCATCGCTCATCCTGGCAGACACGCCGAGCGCGGCTTCACCACCAGCCACCGAGGGACCCCGAACGATAATCTGGAAACTGTCAGTAAGAGAAACCGGCGAAGGATGATGTGAAGCAACTGACCTGTCCCTGAGACACCTCGTCCGTCGTCTTCAGATCCGCCGTATCGCGGAGGAGAATCTCGGTGCTCGTGACGGGCGGGCCAAAGTGAGAGCGCTGGCTGTCCTGGCCGTGCACCCTGTAATCATAGTACCCTGTCTGCGTGACGGCACCGGCGACCTTGGAGGCCGTCAGCGCGTAGATGACGCGCGCACCGAGGAAGACGCGAAGATCCGAAAGCTCTCGAGGTGACAGCGGGACAGAATGCGCGCCGACCCTCTCGGCCGTGTACACGACGCGGAGCTTGCCGGGCGTGGTTCCAATGGCGGGGAGGTAAGCGTCGCCAAAGCTGGTGGCGACCGATGCGACGGGCATGATGCCGTAGTCCACGAGGCTGCGCGACTTGAGCCAGTAGGACAGCCTGGCCAGGGCCGACGTGAGCTTGCTCGTGGTCTCGTGGTGGGTCTTGAGCAGCGTCTCCGGCGAGGCAACAATAACCGTCGGCGCGATGCCTTGCGTTGAGAGGATGAGCTCGGCTGACTTGCCCGCGACCGAGCTGAAGGCGACAGAAGCGTTGGAGAAGAGGGCGGCCAGGGTCAGAACAAGAGTGTACGTGTTCGTCAGGGAGTCGACGGGGAGGAAGAGGTCGGAGGGGCCCAGACGCTGAGAGACGGGGAGCGCCGCGAGCTGAGCGGCGATGCCGGCGATCAGGTTGGCTTGCGAGAATCGCACCATCTCCTCCATGGTGCCGGTCCTCGACTGCCAGAAGGTGATGATGTCCGCCGGCTCGTGCTGCCCAGCCACGGGCGGCAGTTCGAGGCCTGCGGCGGCCGGGGCCTCCTGAACAATTTCCTGCCACGTTGCGACATTGACGGACCCTCCCATGCCCTCGGGTACCTCGTTCCAGTCCATGTGCTTACTGCCCTCGTCGACAACCCAGATCAGCTGGCGCAATGATGGGTAGGCCTTGACCACAGCATCGAAGGGGAAGGCGCCGGGCGCGGTGACGACGGTGTCGGCGGCGGAGCGGCGCAGCATAGAAATGAGCTCTTCGTCGGAGACGTCGAAGGGGATGAGGATGGCGGTCAGGTTGGAGTAGAAGCTGCAGGCAAAGAGCGCAGCAACCAGCTCGATCGAGTTGGGAAGGTAGATGGCCACGCGGATTCCACCCTGCTCGTGAATGTGCTGGCCGATGAGGTTGATCTGGCGCGTCACATCGTCTACGGACGCGGGGTTAGCCTAAGCACCGCGATGATGAGAAAAGCTGCAACGAACCAATATCAGCCTCGATGACTTGACGGGCACCATGGACTGTGAGGAGGCGGCCCTTGCCCGAGGCAGGCTTGCCGTCTTCGTCGGGCGTGCCGCCAGCGGCCCTCCTCCAAATGTCGCGGAGATCACCGTCTCTTCCTCTAGACCACTTCGAGGCCCCAGAGTCCTTGACGTTCAGTCCACTATTGAGAGGCATGCCGTGCGGTGAGGCGTGGGATCGGTAGATGGGCGACTCGCCCTCTTGTCGAACAGGCGAGCCTTGCGCCTGGCGGGCAAGTAACATTGGATGCGTGTCGGGCTCCTGGCTGGCAGCAATACGGTAGGAGACAATGATGACCAGGAAGGTCACCATGGCGGTTGTGTAGCCATTCCATTGTCCAAAGAGGCCTGTGACGCTCTGGTCGAGGCTGACCAGAAGGTTGTCGATGGTGCCCATGGCTAGAGAGAGAGGGAGAAAGAGTTGGGTCGTGTGCCCTCACGGCGGTTCTGTGGAAGAGTCGGGCACAAAGGCGAGATCGAGGTAGAGGTCAAGGACAAAACCAAGTTTGTACACGGCTGTCTCAGTAACTGCTTCGTGTTCCTAGCAGCTGCGGGACGGACCTGCGTCAATAATCATTCCAGTCGACGAGGGGCAACTGGGGCTTTGTATGTCGGGGAGGTGGTGGGCGTCGGGAATCGGGCGATGTACTGTTACGTTTCGAGGTGGTGGGCTGTGGACGCCAGCTCCCTCCCTCCCGCCGTCGGAGCTGTCTGTGGCTGATGCTATTGTTCACCCAGTCAGACGTGGCAGACGGGCAATAACGCCCCGCACTACCGCCGCCTGCCCCTGGCGCCTCCAGTTTGCAGGTGCTGACCTCACCTAGGTATCCCCTTAGAGCCCTTGAGGTCAGTAGGCACCTAGGAACCGCACCACACCACCCCTGCAAGCTGCTCGTCCGTGCTGGGCTCCCGCTCCGGAAGCGTAACTGGGGGATTGTTTTCGCGGCGCAACCCCCAATCTCATCACCAACGTCAACAAAACTTCCTGCCCAACATCGCATCTCGACACAAGGGAAATCCGGAGCAGCGCCGCGACGACCTCGGCCGCCAGGCTGAAGATTTACTAACCCAACAGGTCCGCCACACTTTCTACCTCAATAACTACCCCGACATTGTCAGTATCACCGCCTGTTCTTGCAGTCGTGGCTAGAAACTCGACTAACCTTTCAGGCAAGCCTTTCCTCACCCGCCTCACCTCCCGATTAATCGATCTTCTCGCCCGCCCACACGACGTCCGGTCCAAAACCTCAGAAACAATGTCAACGCCCATGATGAGCAGGGTGGCTACCAGAACCCCCGCCAAGTCAACACCCCAGACTCAAAATGCTGCGCCCGTCGTTGACAGTCCCGGCACCTGGAGACACCCACGGATTGACGAGATCTCGAGGCGGCGCAACGCGACAACATTCTCGGAGAAGAACGTCAGAAAAGTTGCTCAGAATGTGGCTTTCTTCGTCGCTCTCTGGGTAGCCCAAGCGTTGGTCCAGCGCTACATCAGCCACAAGCTGTACGTGTTCCGCCCGACCAAGAACCCAAGCCCTCCGCATACTAATCCATCTGCAGAGTGTCAGAGTCGACGAGGTCGATCCTTGGCTGGGCCTACTTGGTCCTGAAGACCATTCCAATCGCCAACTCCGTCACCGCCTTGCTTCCACTGTTCCGTACGACTGACGACCTCAGCGATATCCCCCTCTCCGCCGCCCAGCGCCAGCTCCTCGGCCTCCCCCCCGGACCGAAGGTTGCCACGCCTGACGCCGTCTTCAGCACGCCGCCGCGCTACTCGAGGACCCCGTCACTTGCAGGTTCGCCAGCAAGCAACCGCAGCTATGCGAGCTCGCCGCTGTCTGGACGTGGCAGCCCGGCCTTCGGAGGCAACCTCAACGGCTCGCCCTTCTCGCCGGCCAGCAGCCCTTCCAAATTCGCCAGTGGGCTAAACGACAACCGCCGCTCCTCTTTCGGGTCTCCTAGCCCTCTGCCTTCCAGCGGCTCCTCTGGCCTCTTCGCCGACCCCACATCGCCCAGCCCGTCGACAGGCAAGCGCACAAGTGTCGGACTCAACAACAAGTGGCTGTACGAGCGAGGAAGGCGATCCTCGACGTCGCTTAGGTGACCGGCGCGAGCAAACGGCGATGTTGCTTCAGGATGATAAATGACAGACGGCGATGAACTTGGCTTGACGAAGGGCACGCTGTCACTGCTTTAGGTATATAATGATTGGTGGCTCATGCGCCAGCTGCGATGTCAAAGCGGTCGGCCATGAGCCGGAAACACAGTGTAATAGATATGTAAGTATTCTGAAATCATGTCTGACATGATGCTGCTTTGGGGCGAATGATCATGAATGTGCTACTCCGTAGGGTGTTGCAGCGTGAAGTGGAGTTGCCATGAGGAGACTGGTTTATCGGGTCTAGAACCTCATGCTTTACATGCGCAACAATGCTTTCTATCTGGTCTTTATGATTACAGTTAGGGACAAAGTTATGGAATGGCTTGAAAACTCTGGCGGCTCTATGAAATGCAAGAGTCTGAACCTGCTGTCAGCAGTAGTTTTGAGTAGCATTGGTGCAAGAAGATTTCAGCGGTGCCCAGTGCTGGACGGTCGTCTGCCGTGATGTCGTTGGTCGCCACGATGCATTCGAGCCTGAACTCCGCCAATTGTCGTTCTCGGTCCAGGTTGACTCGCAGGATGACGATGGTGTCCATTTCGTGAGGCTCATCCGGCGAATATCGGGGTGATGTCCCTCCCTGCAACATGATCGAGGTTGATGATTTGTCTCGCACAATAAAATCATCGGCAATAATGGTGCCTGCGTTTCGCAACGTCAGAAATACCGAAATGGGGGGGGATGTGTGATTGAGGTTGTCCCTTACCGATGTTGAAATTGCTGTCGCTGATTTGCTCTTCCTCCCACAAGTCGGTCGAGTTCGCATCGCTCTTGCGGAACTTCTTCATGAGATTGCGCTGAATCCGAAATGCTGAGACGTCAGTAAGCCATTGTCATCCATCTTTCGCAAGTTGTTTCTTCTCGCAGAATAGACGAGTGCCGATTCATACCGTATCGACCAAACACTCCCCCAGCGAACTGCTCTAACAAGGCTGTCCCTCCAGAAAGCCCGTTTTGCAGCAATTCGGGCTCGATGTCCTGGAAAGCAACCTCCCGGACACAACTGTCGCCGAACCGGGGCTTTCCCGCGAGACGCAGAGGCTCCAGGCTCGGGTGATGCAGCACAGGGTGGGATCTACAGTCAAACGCCTCAAAGTATGTCGGCTTGGTCCATTGCTGAAGACCAACAAAGCACGCGCCTACGCCTGCTGATGTGGTTAACGCAAGTGAAACGAGGGTGGTCCGCAGTCCGCGGCTACGAAGAAAGGACATGGTGAAGGAAAAGACAAAAATGGGCAAGGCAGAAATGTTGATTCGGATTCTACGATGAACCTGCGGCCAGCTTCATAATAAGGCCCCTGGATGTCCTCCAAGAGCCGAGACGACTCGGAGCTTTGATGGTGTGATGCCCACGTCCCACTCATGAGGGTCCATACCGCGTCAAATTTTGGCTCAGAAAGCGCGATGGTGGACTTCGTGAGTTTCTTCCCAAGTAGAAACTCGTGAATAGCACATCACTTCAGGCGATCCAGAACTCGAACCATGAGGTCTATCGAGGCATTGCATAGGTTACCTCTGATGGGAAACTAATGCTGGGCAGGTCTGAGGCTCAGCAGGTTGTGTCGTTTGCTTACTAAGTGGGCGAGGTGAAGCATGAGCGACATGGAGCAGGCAGTTGAAGCACAGCCTTACGTAACCCCGCGGCCCAAGCAAGCTCCATCTGGGGACGGATGCCCATGCGACCTCCAGGTCATCCACTACACCAAACGACACCGTACCTCACTGATAAGGACTTGGTCTAGATTCCACCCGCCCGCCAAACCACGACCCGCCAGCTCAACTTCCAGCCCGCTGCAACTTTTCTGTACGAGCACCATCCAAGACGACACTGGGTTTGACCCGGTTGTCATGATAACGACTCGACAACATGGGCGCCAGCGATTCGAAGCTCGTCTTCAAGAAAGGCATCTTTAGACTCTCCGAAGAACGACACATACCCGCGGACGACCCGTACTGGACTTCAGTGGGTGCCCATGGAAGCGCTCTCAAGATCTCAGCTGTACTGACTCTCTAATCAGTTCTGGGAGCTGCCAGAAACCGCCGAGGATGTCTTCAGCCTCTTCTCCCCCGCCGACATTCGACGGACACGAGACAATGCTCTGGAGAACCTCGAAACGTTGATTCTCGTCGTGACATCTCGACTTTTCATCCTGCGGCACCATCCTTCTTTCCCCGATCCCGAAATCGCTCCGGAGCGAGACGCCCTCAACTGCATACGAGTCCTCACGCGCATCCTGCCTTTCCTCTACGAGGCCGAGTCCTTGAGTTCGTGGGAGGAAACCTTCTTCTGGGGCGCACGTCGCAAGCGGACGCGCAAGTCATCTCTTGCCGCCGAGGTATTGTTCGATGAGGCGCAGGAGGAGCAAATTCCAATCAAGAAAGAGCCCGAGGAGGATTTTGAGGATGCGAAGCCCCTCGCCGAGGAGCTTTTGGATACCCTGGTCGACCTCCTCTTCTTCTCCGATCTGACGGTGCCCAGGCAGCCGCACGGAAAGCCCAAGGTCTCGTATGCCATTTGGCAGAGTGGCGTCGGATGCAACACGGCAGTGCCGACGACAAAGGAGCATGAGAGCAACAGGTGCGAGATTCTGCGCCTGATCCTCACTCTGGCCGGCCAGAGTATGTACATGACACCCAGCGCGCTGCCTAAGCACGGCGTACGGGCATTGACACATCTGTGCTCCTGCCCGGACAAGCAGGCCGTCCTGTCGGTGCTGTGTTCGCTTCTCAATACTGTAAGGCGTGCCTATAGTCCAGCTCTGTGACATGACGCTGACTTTGACAGACGCTGAAGTGGAACCCAGCCACGTGGAGGGTGCCTTACAATACGTTGGTGTTCAGGGACGAGAAGTCCATCCTGGTGACCTACACACTGCAGCTTCTGCTTGTTTTAGTTCTCTACCCGATTCCAGAAGGGAGTGGTGTCGAGAGCCAGAAAAACTATTTCCGCCACTTCCTGGGCAGGTTGCATCGCCCACAAGACTTCCAGTTCATTGTTGATGGCATGACCCGAATTCTCAACCAGCCTTTGCAGGAGAGAAGCTCTTATATCCCGTCAACACAGTCGCCCGCCAAATTTGCGCCTGAGATGATGATGCTGTTTTGGGAAATCACACAATGCAACAAGAGGTTCCGTTCTTTCATCGTCGACACGGAGAGGGCCCATGACTTTGTCATCCTGACGCTCTTTTATGCTCTCGAGTACAAGTCTGATGCCTCGAAGCAAGGTGTCGTGCGCATGTGCGCCTTTTTGCTTCAGACCATCAGTGTGGAGAGAAACTTTGGTGTGAACCTGAACAAGGACTTCACCGGTCAGGACAGCCTGCCACCGGCAATACGGCTCCCTGGGTTCAGGGGTACATATGCCGACTTCCTCGTCCAAGTAAGGAGACCTTCCGGCACCGTGCCATAGCCATCAAAGCTGACCCCATTGCAGTCCATCTATAATCTTATCACGACCAGCCAGGGCAAACTAACGGCGATTTACCCGGCCTTACTTGCCGTCATCAACAATATCGCAGCTCACCTGGAGGGTATCAGTCACATCACCGCATCCAGACTGCTGCAGCTCTTTTCCTCCATGTCTTCTCCATCGTTCCTTCTTGCCAATGATACAAACCATGCTCTTCTCAGGTCTCTCCTGGAATCCATCAACTCTATCATCGAGCATCAGTACAGGAGTGAGTGTTTCCCCAGATCGGCCTGATGCCGCTAGGCGCTTGTCTCTCTACATTGTAGAGACGTGACTGACGCTGTGGCAGAAAACCCTGAGCTTATCTTCGCGATTGTTCGTAACAAGAAGAAGATTGAGGCTTTGCGAAGCTTCACGCTAGAATCCGGCCAAGAAGAGATTGAGAGGAGGAATCGCAGGCGAAAGGAGGCTGCGGGGAGTGGCGACGGATTAGAGCCGAGCTCAGTCAGGAGCTCAGTAGACAGCATCCAGAGCCCTACAGCTTCACAAGTGCAGCACCCGTCTCTCAGCAACGTGCAAGAAGAGGACGACACGTTCGCCATTGGAGATGATGAAGATGACAGCGACGACGATCACCAGCCGACGCCAGCCCGATCAACAACGAGCGATAGCGTATCCATGGCGTCATCGCAGGCTTCGAATGTCGAGGACGCCGTGCCGACGCAGATGCGCGGCATGTCGGAGAAGGCTCGAGGCAAGATGCCCGCCGGCGTGGGCAACTTTTCGAGACAAAACAGCACAACAAGTCTCGGTGGCTACTCGGCGAGCGGCGGATCGACCAGCGGGGCCTTCGAGCCGACGCCGCACTGGATCGAGAGCTGGCTGCCCGAGCTGCCGCTGCACACGATCCTCACGGTGATTCAGCAGGTGTCTGCTCTGCTGCCGCGCCAGACGATCGCCAACGAGTCGGCGTCGACCGAGACGCTGCAGAGGATCCAGGAGATCCAGCTCGTGGGCGTCGACCCTGCGCCTGTTCGGGTGCACTCGTTTGAGTGGTCTCAGCTCGCGCTCGGCTGGTACGAGTCGCTTGTGTGGAGTTTTGTCTTCAGCAGCGAGATACAAGTGGCTCGAGGAACGGCGGGCGTCTGGAACGGCACAGCCATCAAGCTCTTCCGAGTACAGGAGACGGCGGCTGAGGGCCCGACGCTGACCTCACCGCGGGGTGCTGTCGACGCCGTGGGGAGCAACATTGTGTCCCGTATTGGGGCTATGAATATTCGCGGCGGAGCGGCGGGGGCTGCAGGTGTCGGTACTGGTGGGAGCACTGGTCAGACGAGTGCATCGCCTCGAATTCCTTGAAGGCAGGCGCGTCAAAGGGAACTTCATTCACACATACAAGGCAGAAATGACGGCAGGGAGCGGAATAGTATACCAAGAAGCCAGTTGGGCAGGTGTGAAGACAATAAGAGTCGTGATCTTGCCTTGCCTCATATTGCGGATAGCTCGGTTACCCCCTGTAACTCGGAATGCGCCAGTGAAGCAAGAAGGGCCTGAACACGCACAACCCAGCTCATTCTGCGCCGATTTCACGTAAAGCCTCTGGTTCCGCGTACCAGCGTAACAGAAGCATGAAAAGCAGCCGACGATTGCGCTTTCAGAGTGCATACGCGTCAACTCTCTCGGCAAAGGACGAGGGGACTTAGCGGACTACTTGCTCATCAGTTACTCTGAACTCATCGATTTAGAACCGCTCTCCGCAGTGATGATGCGTCAGGCTGTCAGGAGAATAGACGACTGTATCGTCAAGAGCCCATGAACACTTAAGGCTTCAGTACCAAGACTTCCGTAAATCAACCCAGACGCAATCAATCTGCCACTCAAATGTGGCAAGGGCTTCTTGTTTTCACATGTGATAGTAGTGCATAAGCTCTGGATTTTAAGTTAGTTGACAGGTGAGAATTATAACGATCGGGTGCTTGGTGCCGGATGGACGATGTTGCAGATGAAGGCGCCACCGGATTCGAGTTTCGTTATTTAGGAGGCATGTGCACCGCAAGCTACAAAACGGCGATGGATTGTATCATCTCCCACATCATGATGGAAAGACATGGGTACTTCTGACACGGCAGAACAAGTCGGTGTGGTGCCGTGTGAGTAGAACATGCAACTCGTTCTTTACGCAGGTAACCCATCGAGTCCGAAAAGGTTGAGGAACCCGCACCGGCGCGTGAACTCTGGCTCGTCGACCGAACATGTACCTTCCAGGCTCTCGGCCCAGAGCTGCACTGCTTCGGGGCACTCTGGGAAATGGGCGAGGAATTCTTTTTACGAGAAGCACCTGTTTTGATCGGCTGGATCGACGCGTAGCTTGTCGAAGCGGATTTGACAGCCTTTGCAACTGATGCCATGATCAACTGTGGCGCTGTTCAAATTGTAGGATGGAAACGCAGTCGCTGCCATGAAGCAATGGGCTGATTGCCCTGGCCGGAGTTTCAGCTTGTGAGCTTCGTCGTCGCTCATCATGCCACAGGCGAGCAGTGTAGGGGTGGCCTTGAACTCGGCAACGAGAAAACTGGGTCCTTTTGCTGGCACCTCCAGCATGTTGTAAATGTCTGGCACAGTTCGTAATGACAATCCTGGAAAGCGGCCAAGTCTGGTGCGTGAGACTTTAGCAAGGCTGGAAAAGGTGGATTGGGCAATGACATGGTAGCGTTTGGACAATTGAAGACAGTTCAAGCAGCATCTCTCTAACGTGAAGAGAAACAGTAGACAGCCGAAGAAGCCGCATGATGCACGGGAA